ACGTGATAAAGTCCGTCATATCGTTTAGCGTAGCATAATCTATCCCAATTATTAAAGTATATCCACATCTTCCCTTTTGAAATCACAAAATGAGCACCAGCCTTTTCTAACCTTGCTCCCGATAATAAATTTCTTCTTAGATTTGGATTATATAAACACATTATCTAACTCAATCCAATTTATTCGATTGCCTACTTTTACTGCAAATTTGACAGTACCCTTTCCTAGTACTTTACTTTCACAATTTCCTACAGCTAAAGACATACGTATATCGTTTATTTCTTCGAAATTTGTCATTAAATTTCTATTATTACAGAAATGAGTTGTAGCTGCAGTATCTACGACCCAATTAAATTTATCTGCGTTACCTCCTTTATCTGTAGTTGTTACATAATTTTCTACTAACATTAATTCTTTATCTTTAAACTGTCCATTTTTATCGTCTATTTTAAACTTCTGATTTTTACTTACATTTTCTTTACATTGAGCAATTAAGTGCCCAAATTTATGACATCTGAAACAAGGTCCTATTCTCATATTCCCCATTTTTTTCTTAGATTTAGTTTTATTTTCAACTTTATCTTTCCCTGCATTTAAACTAATAGTATTAAACACGCTTACCTTGCTGTCTTCTAAATCGGCAATTTACCTGGCGAAGTCGGCTTTCTTCCCTTACCAGCTTCTTCAGCAATTCTTTCCAGCGTAAAATCTTCGTCCTTCCACCTATAGATCAACTGTACAATGCCGGAGTATTCCTGGGGTAATCTCCTTATTGCCTGAAATCCTTTAAAAAGATCTGCCAAGTTGTGTGACCAGCTTCAGCCAACTTCTTTGCAGTCATTCTTATTCTTGCGATGAATAATCCTATTTCTTCATTTGGCGTATATCTAATACTAAAAAATTCATCCAGTAACTGAATTATCCTTGCTCTTGTTTTGGGTTCGAATTGCTTCTGTAGAACTTCCCACGCTTCTTTACCACTTGAACATTCTTGTATCAGCGGCCTGAACTCAGCTTTAATTCCGTAATATAATGTAGTGAAGGCTCTGTTCTCCCTCAGTGTGAACTCCTGCTTTTCACGCTTTGTTGCACTTTTATCTAATTCTTCTTCTTTGTCCTCTATGAAGCTCCAACAATTTCTATCCAGTAACAGCATTTTCATGTCGACTTTCCATCGATCCCAGTTGTCATGGTTTAACAACTCAAAACCTTCAGGTAGTAATGACATCTTCAATTAAGTGTGAGCACAACGACTTGAACAAACTTCTAAGACAGGTCAGCTTCTTTTCGTGGATAACGGCCCTCTTCACCTACATTCCTTCAATGCTGAGTTGAACTGGATGACTGATTAGCTGTTGGCGCTGGGCCCATAACCCTGTTGGCAGTGGTGATAAAGGCAAAGCATGTTTTTGCTTCCCTTAAATAAAGCTAAGACTAAACTAAATAAAATTCTTGCTTTATTCCATAAATAAAATAAAAGAGCTAACACTGTAGCCTTTACATTTAAAATCATTTGATTGAAAGCAAACTAGCATTATGCTAACTCATAATGACACAAGAGAACAAGAAAAAAACAAGATTTGCCGATACCATCGTACATATATACTCGGCCAACCCGCCGATCTTGACGTCATCGGCCAATCAGCGGCAACCACGTTAGCTTACCGTCGATCGACCTCCGATCAAAATTTGCATGTGGAAAACTAAAGCCAACAAGTGCACCACTTCACTTGATGACAGGAACATTGTGCGCATGGCAGTGACGGATCGCTTAGTCATATCACAAAGTATAGCACAGTACATTCAGTCTGTCACCCATCATCCAGTATCTGCGCGTATCATTCGACGCTGTTTGCAGCAGAGTGGTCTGTCCGCAAGACGTCCATTACTTCGTATACCCTTGATGCAGAACCACAGACGTCTCCACCGCCAATGTTGCTATGAAAGAAGGATGTGGACTGTAGAATGGAATGAAATTTTCTTTACAGACGAGTCACGCTTCTGTCTGCAACACCACGATGGTGGGATTCGAGTCTGGAGACACCGTTGAGAGAGGATGCTGAACAGCTGCGTTATGCACCGCCACACTGGTCCTGCACCGGGTATTATGGTATGGGGCGGTATTGGATATCACTCTCGCACTCCTCTAATATGCATTGCCGATACTTTAAACAGCCAGCGCTACATCTCCGAAGTGTTGGAGCCAGTTGTCCTTCCTTACCTTCAGGGCTTGCCCACAGCCATATTTCAACAGGATAATGCGCGACCACACATAGCACGCATTGTCCAAGGGTTCTTCGCCAACCTCAGGATTGAAATGCTTCCCTGGCCGGCTCGCTCTCCAGATCTTTCGCCAATAGAAAACGTGGTCCATGGTTGCTGAACGATTAACCCAGATTACATCCCAAGCTGCCAAACCAGATCAACTTTGGCAACGTGTTAAAGCTGCTTGGTCTGCTGTACCCCAAGAACACATCCAAAGTCTTTTAGAATCAATGGCGAGGCATGTGGCAGCGGTGATCTCCAACAATAGTGGCTACTCTGGTTACTGATTCTGGAAGGAACCACACTTCACAAAAGTCTATAAATTTAATCATTTGATACTTGGTCAACAAGTTATCTACTAAAGAAATTTTGTTCTGATATCTCTTGTCTTTCTTGGTGTTGCAATTTGGGTGGCCAGCAGTGTAAATAATCAGACAAATATCCTCAGCAGTGGCCGTGTGTTTATGACCGCTGAATACTGGTAGTGCAACCTTGCCAGGATTGAAACCCAGGCAAATAGTTTGGCTGCATGGTTTGTTTTTGTCGATTTCCTCATGTGTAATGTGAATAGGAGCCAGTTTCCTTTACAAAGTTCCTCCACGAAAGTACCTCTCCTCTAATCAGATAGCCCTCCTGTCTTTGCCATATTCATATAATCTAACCTAATTTAAATAGTATGCCATAATACAGAATAGGGAGAAGCTTAGGAAATGCCCGTTCGCCCTAGAGCGGAAAAACAAGTGGTGGCGAGGACTGGAGGGTTAGAAGCACTTCAGGATTAGAGTTAGGATTAGGATTGAATCTGAAAGTAAGCTCACCAGAAAGGCGATTCTCCTAGGAGCGGACGATTTTCTAATTTTGTAACTTAGGTACGTATTTTCTCTTTATAACTTAAAAAAAAAAAGGCAAGTAAAGAATTTAGTGTAAAATGGAGCTTAAGTTTTTACCTCAAATCCTATCTATTTCTGTATTTATTAAACAAATTAAAACTTGTTAGAGAAACTTAAAAGATAATGGGAGAGGGCGGCAGTTTTAGCTTTTGCCCCACATCAGAAAAATCAAAGATCCGGCGCTGACTTTTTCTACATCTACATGTGTGTGGCCTTTTAAATAAGGGTGCATCTTATATGCCGTCAAATATGGTAATCTCTGTCATAAAATTCTTGTGACACAGATTACTTCAGCCAGTAATAAATTTTTAGCTTAAACATTATCCAGTCGAGATAAAGCAAACTGAAATTAACATTCTAAACCAATATCCAAATTACTTGGAACCCAACTTTTACCTGAGAACACATTAAAGTTCGCTTTCTGCTTCCTTTGCTAGTTAAATTGCTACTTCATCTGTCATCAAAATTACTGCTAAAAATTTTACAAAAGTGATTCAGGAACAGATGTGACTTTTGTACAAAGTTATTTGTAGATTCAAATATCAAGTAGAATAAAAATGGATGTTTAAATTGGCTATGAACTGCTCATTTATGCATCTACTATGCCATCAACATACTACCAACTTTTCTAAATTATTACCTCGACTCAGTAGGAATTGCTTATTTGTACTTTAAAACTTCAATCAAAATGTCGTCTGTGGATTTACAAAGTGTATTGTTGACAGGATGACTTTATTTGTGTGTGAGTACTCTGACATTAAATCGTTCTCAGCTGAAATATATTTTTGTGCTTCTTGGCGATAATTGGAGAATTTTTGCACAAAAATCGCCGCTACACAAATAAAAAATAACAAGTTAAAAGATCGTACAAACTCGGTTTCCATGTACGCATCGACCTATTTTCACTTAAAAGAACATCAGAGAATTGCACAAACTAGGCATTGTGCAGTCCCTTGTCTTTCTCCATGTACACATCAATCTATATTCATTTAAAAAGTCAAAGGAGCAGCCAAAAAATATATATATATATATATAATCTCAATAAACTACATGTTAAATCAAACAATAACATAAAAAGGAAATATATCTTATCACTAGACAAAGGAAATACCCATTTACCTTATTTACAAATTTTCTTATCTTTGACTTTTTAAGTGAAAATAGATTAATGTGTGCATGGACAAAGGAACTGCACAATGCCTAGTTTGTGCAATTTTCCGATTTTGTTTTTAAGTGAAAATAGGTCGATGTACACATGGATACCAAGTCTGTACAAGTCTTTCACTTTTTATTTCGTCTTTGTGTCTTGCTATTTTGTTTTTGATTTTTGGGGCACAAATCGTCGCTACATAAAGCCAAACAACTCAAAGAATTGCACAAACTTGGTATCCATGTACCGCCAAAAATCATTAACTTTTGCCAAGGGGCACCTGTAAAAATATTTTTACTGCCATGTTTAAATGTCATCTTATTAGATTTAAACTGATCTAAAATCCAGAACTTTCCAAAATTTGGAATCGCCAAAGTACCAACAATTTCAGATTTCGGACTTTGTACTGTATTAGCTTAGTTGTTTGGACATATTTCAAGATGCATGTCTGTGTATTTAAAGGTATCTTGACAATTATTTTCAACACACACACACATATATATAGTTGGTAGTTTACAGAGTTAAAAAATTTCTTTTTGTCCCTCAGTGAGCTTTAATTTTCCCTAATAGATAAACATATCTGTCGTATTACATATAACAGATTAACTGATCGCCAAATATTGTCATTATATTAAATGTTTGGATTAACAGTGCATTTATCTGTCGTAATTTACTAATTTATGATAATTACATAGGTATGAGAGAGAACTGGATCTTCCACAATTACCTGAAATGACATTTGCCAGCAATTTATTAAGACTGGAAAATGATAATGCATCTGGAATTGAGTTCAATGCTCTGGATGCTTTGAAAATGGTTGATAGCAAAAACGATGTCATAAAAGTTGCAGTAGCTGACTCTTGGCAAGAATCAAGGTTTGTTGTTCAAGTTTTCATTTCTCTTTTTATTTTAAGAAAATTTGTTTTGCATTTTCTTTTTCCTTGATTGTGTACATTTGAGATTAATTCCGTGGATACTTTCTGATTATCTACTTCATCACATTCAACATGTAATAAAACTGCCATGGTTTTGGCATATTTTCATGTATATGTAACAGTAGCCAAAAAAGACATGTACTACAGTCAAAAGTCTTTAATCCGGACTCGTCAGGACTTCAGCGATTCCGGATTATCGATTTTTCTGGATTATAGATCATCAGTTTAAATCTGGTAAAATGGCATGCAGAAATTATAAAATTAAAAATATGAAACTGTAATTTATAAAATAATGAGCAATTATGATCTAAAGGGTATCAAAATTTACGAAAAAAGAAGCTTAATATTTATTTGTTTACTTTATTAAACATTTCTTTCAGCGCGCGCATGCGTAAAGCATACCTTACGCATAGCCGAAATTAGAAAATTGCAACCAGAAAACTTTGATTTGTATTCGTGATATTTATAATGACGAGGAATTTGATTTAAATCATATCAAAGACGGAGTACATAGAGATTAAATACTACATTTAGTAAGGAATTATAAGCCGAATAAAATAAAAACATCTGCCCTAAAGATAACGATAGTGCTGACAGATCAATTTCCAGTTCATTTGCCGCGACGTCCCCCCTCCCACGCGCAGAGCAGCGTGAAATTGATAAACAGATTTCGGAACCGTTAGATAAACAAAGGATATGCCTTTATCCATTTTTTATAGCAATTCGTTTTTTGTTTGATGGACATCGAAGCATACTTTTGTTTTCTAGATCCTTTGGGAGCTCCAGCATCGGAATTTCTATTTGACATAATAGCTTACTTTATAAAATTGCTTATTTTCAAGATTAAATTTCAAGCTTACTTTTATAAAATTGCTCTTACAGTCTGCAAAAAATAATAAGCCGGATCCAATTCGAAGATTAAGGAACAACGCAATCATCAACATTAACTGAAATAGATAATTAGATAATTTTAGCTTATACCGTTCGTTTTACATTAAATGCGCACGCGAAAATGTATTCTGTGCTTGCGCAGACACATATGCGCAGTCGTAAATGTCTTGCGTGCACGCGTAAAACGCCTATGCGCAGAAAGATTTTAGCTTTGAGGTCCGGATTATAGATCATTCCTGATTATGGGTGTCCGAATTAACGACTTTTGACTGTATTATATGTTGGACTGTATTATATTTAACTGTCATTTCACAAATCAGTGTTCTGCCCCTGTCCAAGTGGTGGGACTTATACCTGTTTGCCCTTGAAATCGATTGTTATTATTTTGTAATTGACTGAATCTCTGCAAAACATGAGGTTGTTGCTTTGCTAATTTTATGAATCATTTTATAGTTTAAATTTTCCGAATTTTCTACAAACTTTCTGAATGTTTATAGTAAAATCACTGTGTATTTAAGTGGACTTCTCATATTCCATAAAAAAGTGCTGTTACTATTTATTCACTTCAGTTTCTGCAGAAGTGCAGCTTTTTTCACTTTATTCTAACAAACTCATAGTCTTTTATGCTGCAGTTTGTAGGATTTATATACACGGTTTGATCAAAAAGTTCTTGGAATTGCCCCATCAGAAACTAACAGTATAATATTGTACTAGCAGTTATAGTGATTTTCAACCTCTATAAGTGATACCTCTGGAACCTAATTTGAACTCTATAGTGATTTTTAACCTCTATATAAGCACTGTACTAAGAAATTTTAGGAGTTGTTTATAGTGGTGTTTTTGTATACAGTTGTCTGTGACTACATCATAGATCTTATTAAAGGTTTGGAAATATCAGAGTTGCCACACTACCTGGAAAATCAGAAAAAGTCAGAAACTATTAGGGAATTTAAATATATTAGACAAAATCTTGAAATGTCAGGGAATTTCATTTATGTATCGCCTGAGCGTCTTTACGGCAACTGGCATAGAGCCAGTTTCATAGCGCCAAATAGATTGTCTTTCAGAAAGGTACAGCAAGTTTCCAGAATCCAGAGGGCATGACTTGTATGTTCTTGTGAAGAACAAGAAATCTATGTGTGTTGAACGAAAGAAATTTCTGCCTCTTGGTTTAGACAGCTTGTTTTTTCTGTTGTCATCTCCATTAAAAAAAATCTGGTAAGTGAAACTTTTTACACATTATTAAATATTTTTTGTAAAATGTCTGTTTATTTAACATTCTATCTATTTACATGCTAATAATAAGAATTCATGCAGTGCATTTTTAAATTTAACAGAAAACTATTGACACTTTCAGAATCATATTATTGTGCATTATTAAAAAAATCAAATTGAACTGTTAAGTGCTTCAATATCATTGGTGGTGTGGGATATATCATAATTAACAGATTTTTAAAATGCCAAAATGTATATATTATCTGAACTTGATTTTTAGACAATCCACATTTAAAATTTAATTTTCAAGAAATGAATGGCAGTGGAGCTCAGGGCCGAAATCAGAAGTATGAAATATAATAATGTTTTCCCGCCATTTTTTTTTTTCACATGAAATAAAAATAAATAATCAATCTTTCTCCCCCTTCCAAAGTTCTGATTTCGTTCAGCCCTCCCCCTTCATTCTTGTACAAAGGAGGCCCACCAGCGGCCGAGTGGTAAAGTCGCTGAACACTGGTAGTTCGGTCCGAGGTTTGAATCCCGCGAACGGGCTGGCTGCATGGGTGTTTTCGTGGTTTTCCCCATGTGTAACGTGTATACTAGCCAGTTTTCCTTAGAAAGTCCTCCACGAAGGCATTCCTCCCCTTAGGCAGATAGCCCTAGTGTGCTTTGCCATAATTAAATACACCAACACCATTCTTGTACAAAGCAAAAATTTTTTTTCCTATTTACTTATTTGTCATTTTACAGTAACAATTAAAAATATATATATTATTGCAATTCGACTTTTAATCTTTTTCATTCGTAGGGTAAATAATTTAATATTAATGTTATTCATATCATTTGATGTAGCTTCTTCCTTCTAAATTTATTTATTATTAGTTAATAATACTTTCAAATTTTAGGTAATTTTCTCTGGCATACGCGGGAAACTAATTCTAGCAGTAATATGACATACCATCATGAAATTTAGTGCAAATATTTTTTACTTGTATATATTGCTAAATAAATATCAAATATTTGAATTTATTTTAAAATATTCTGAAATTTCTTTCTTTCTTTCCTGTAGTTGTAAAATGTCTGCAAAAAAGACAAGGAAACCAATCACAAGCCTCACAAATAGCATAAAGCATATAAAAATTATTTTTGTAAAGATAAACTCAGGAAAAAAAAAAAAAAAAAAAAACTTTTTTTTTATAGATAAAAACAGTTCTGTAGCACAACAATCTCCAATGCTAATTGCTGTTGCTGAATCATCAAATTTAAACTCCTTCATAACTAAGGACAAAGTGTTAGCTGTAAAAATTACTGTGTGCTCTGAAACTTGTTTGTTCATATCTTGTTTGTTTTATACCTTTTGATGCATTTGATGATGCTGTTTTTCTGTTCCAGAAAATGATTAATGACAGCAAGAAAGCTAAAGCAATGACCCTGGAATATGCATAAATATCATATTTAATGTCATTTAGTTTAGCTCCATATATATATATATATTAAAAAAAAATGTTTGATTTTGGGACAATGTAAGGCATCAAGATACCTCACATAAATTTTTGGGAGCATGCTGTTGCTAATGACCCTCTGAAAAGTGGTTTTTATTATTATTACTATTATTATTTATTTATTTATTTATTTTATATTATTTATTTTATTTATTTATTTATATTATTTATTTATTTATTTTTTTGGGGAGGGAACCTCAGAACTAGATAAAAAGAAATTGCTCCAAGTATCAAATATCATTGGATGGACCAAAAGGTCAGTCTCAAATTTTTAAGGGATTTGAAAGAAAGTTTAGCAAATAATAATGACTGTCATGCATTAGATATTGGGTCCTGTGGTCTGCATGTAATTTATCTTGCTGTTAGAGATGGGCATGAGCTCCTGACTGGAATCTAAATGTGTTATTTAAAGACATGCCAATTTTTTATTAACATTGTATGAAGGAAGATGGTGTAAAAAAGTACCTGTTGCTGAGAGAGCTATTGATATTAATTACTGCTTCTCTGAGCTATTAATATAAATGTCTGATCTAAAGACAAAAGAATTTGGAACCCAGTGCTTAAGCTTGCATAAAAAATAGCTGAAAGAAGCCCATTTAAATATAGCTCGGTCAAATACATTTCATCATTATATCCTAAGTTCATTACATCTTATAAAGTATTTTCTCCCTCTTTTTCACATGCTTTTGTGGTTTAATAGTAGCACATTCAGTGTGTATTTGAGAGATTCAGGTTCGAGTCCCAGTGAGGACACTGCATATTTTTCATATCTCCTGCTTAAAAAACCTAATGACTCTGCAGTGGCGCTCACTTTTAATTTACAGCTGCTCTTTAAAAGGGGATGTATAAAATATTTTCTCCCTTATTTCTGCATGCCTTCATGGTGTAATGGTAGCACACTCGCGACATATTCAAGAAGTCCAGGTTCAAATCCCAGCAAGGGCATTGCATATTTTTCATGTCTCCTGCATCTAAATAACCTAATGACTTTACAGTCTAATGAAGTTTTATATGAGAAAAGGATGGAAGGATTATTGCAGGTACTGTATGAAAAAATGAAAGGATAAATTCGGCAGTTGGAGATAAATTAAAAGTACAGTTTAAAGAATTGTTGTCCAGAATGCTGTTTGGAAAGAAACTTTTGTTATACTTCAATGGGACTTTTTTTGTAAGGATTTGATTTATAATTCAGATTTTGAAGAACTTATAGAGTGTTGTAAAACTAGTTCTAATTTTATGACATGGCAATACCACAATAGAAAGTGAATTCTAAGTTAATAATGATATGTTAGTGGAAAACCTTCAGGAAATTCTGTAATAGCAATGCAAACA